TAGCCTATAAATGCTTCACATGTATCCCTCGCTCAGTGTTATGTGGCGCAAATAACGAGAATCAAAGTGTGAATATCAAGGCAAGATTACAATAATGCAACTGGAAAACAACCCTGTACCTAGGCCCGGAGAGCTCTGTTGAGGCTTGGCAGAGCCGAGACATGAGGCTCTGAAATTGGCGCTAAGTGCCCGAACATGCACGAAACTGCAAAGCGTACTGGATGCATGCGGTTCAGGTCAGGGCCACATTTGGTGCACACGGTCCGGGTGTACGTGCATTTTTTCGCGGCAACCCCACCTCGTTATGGTATGTACGCTCTAGTAGCTGAAATCCGGACTAAGGAAATACCATTTCCTTACACTCATCTTATGCACGTTGTGCACTATCTTGTCCTCGCTACTAGGAGGTTCGCCTGCACCCCGAACGCGGATCCTAGCACTCTTCCCAAAACCGACTCGGATACAACTCAAACAGAGTGTGATACACAAGGACCCTGATCGGTTGGCCATATTCTGGAACCCGGATGGTGTCGAGCAATTTCCTAGGGTTGGCTCGGAATTGGCTTAAATGTTAAATTATATATTTTGTTATATAATTGGTAGGCTTGGTAGGTGTTACTGAAACCTACTGTAGAGGGTACAACCCCTTTCCTTGTATCCCTCTCTCTTCTATTCTCGTCTCCTTTTCTCTCCTCAACTTTCCTAGCCTAAAACCTCTTGCCATTACTATGGCTTCCTACCATTCCTAGCTACCTTAATTTAACATTAAAGCCAAACAATATATATAATCACACCAAACCTCCGGGAATAGAGGTGTGTACAGTACCGATCAACAGAATATGGAAGGTTGGAATACGGAATGAGGAAAGGGCACCTAGCTGCTGACTCTGGCGAAATCGTGCCAACCGCCGGTCGATGTGAATTCAAGCTTTTTTGCAAGAATAGCTGGGAATAGTGAAGAGTGGGGCATTCCAAACGCAATAACCAATTCCCTTATTTCGGAAACGGAAAACGTCGAATACCCACTACCAGCCTGTGTCTGACCGCCAAGAAAACAAAGGCAGGGTCATATTTCAATATCAGCACAATTATAAGCCTTGTTTCCCCCCTCCCTTTTGTTTTTCGTGACCAAGATCGTGGCAGGCAAGTTTGGTAATTCGCCAGCTCATACGCGACAATTACATCCGGCAATTTCACACATAAACCAACCCAAATTCTCGCACTACCTAACATGGCGAGTCAACGCACGGAATACGGAAAGCTTGCAGCGGATTCCATATTCCGTATTCCGTATTCCATTTTCTGGGGGTCGTTCGCTGACAATTTGCCGAGGGGAACGGGAAGGGGAACGGGCGGCCAAATCCCACGCGCATGGAATTTGCGCAGCCAAACCTACGTTTTTTTTTTTTTTTTTTTTTTTTTTTTGGCCCCAGTACTTTGGTAATCATAACGTTGCCAGCTCATGAGTACGTCGGTCACGACTGCAGGCATGGTTACAACAAACTCACGGACAGTGAAGAGTGAGGCCCATCAAAAGCCCTGTTAGCCCATCGTACTTTCGTCGAAAATCTAGCGGAGAAAATGCGTTTCACACAATTTTGTCAAAACTGCGCACTATTTTTACATTTCAAAATGTGGCCGGTTGGATGGGTACAAGCTGGCGCAATTGCGCAGATTGATGGGTCGGATTGGAGGGGAAGTGGCTGTGAGAGAGGTGACTGTGAGGGACAAACGTGAGCTGCGGGTTTTTTTTTTGTGGGTTACGTAAACCTGCCCAGCCAAGAGGCATGCCAATCTTGGCCTGCCTCATACAGGTCATATGCCTTCTAGACGACCCCCTTTTACGCCCAGGAGTATTCCATATGCATTTTATCCTTAAGGGCCACTCCTTGTACGCAAAGTGTACCCGTCTCAACTGAACAGTGGATTAGACAGTCAATTCGGCTGATCCAAGGCCGTCCAATCAGTTTGCTCTTGTGTTTTCAGAGCGACCACACCTAGTGGTCGGCAAGCCTCTAAAAATCCAGATGTGTAAGGCTCGCCAACCAATGTCGATGCAAAAATCCACATGATGCGCTAGATATGACCAGCTCACTGAGGGTCCAGTAGAATTACGCCAGCAACGCTAACGGAATCCGTCGGCGTTGCCCCAGGACAATCCGTCCACCCACAGCCTATACGAACGCGCCAAGGAAGCAACATAGAGGTCCCAACATCGTTCCCCCCACCAGCAGTGCAGACACCCCGGGGTTATTTATATGCCCCAAACAGCGACCTCTTCACGACACAAGGAACGAGCCCGCCAGACCCACGAGGTCGTCCACATGGCACATGTACACCGAATTGCGCTCTCCGTCGGGCAAAAGGTTGCAATCTGCCAGTACGCCAAGAAGAATCCGACCTTGCAGCTCGAAGACATTGGGCGATGGTGCCACACCAGATACGGCCTGTGGCCGGATCGCAGCACAGTCGGCCGAGTTCTGCAAACTGAACAGAAGTGGCGGGCCATCGGGCCCGAACGCGCCAAGTTCAAAAGGGTGCGTAACCCACATTTGCCTTTACTTGAAGCTCAACTCAAGACCTGGCTGAAAAGCACGAATTGTGCTAGCTTGCCAATCTCGACGGCTCTAATCCAGCGCGCGATATTGCTAGCACCCGAGTGCAACGTGCCTAGCAAGTTCAAAGCTTCTGTTGGATGGGTTCATAAAGCATTGCGCCGAATGGGATTCCAGTGGCGTAAGATGAGCGGCGATGTGAAGTCTGCCAACGAGGGCGCCGCTCTGACCGCGCAACTACATTTCCCGAGGCTGTGCGACCAGCTTGGCGTGACCCCAGAGAACCTGTTCAACTTCGACGAGACTTGCGTCTACTACAGTCTCCTCCCCGACCACACATTTTGTATCGACCCTACCCCGAGCAAGAAGGTCTGCAAGGACCGTCTCACTGTCGCGCTGCTGGTGAATGCGGACGGCTCGAAGCTTTTCAAGCCGCTCATCTTTCACAAGTTCGAGCGGCCCCGTTGCTTCGCAAAGCAGAAATTTGACCCGCGAAGTACTGCTACTGGCGCGCGAACACCTCCAGATGGATGACGGCAGAGGTAAATGCCTCGCTTTCCATCGCTTGCATGCACCGTGCCGAAATCTGTCCGATGCAAAATGTGGCGTGTGACAAGAATAATATTCCGCTAAAAACACATCTATCCCATACGCCCCGCGCAGGTTTTCACGGCGTTCTTCGAGCACATTAACGCGCTCTGCATGGCGGAATGACGCCGCATCGTCGTCATGCTCGACAATGCGTCGAGTCAGCTGCACCAATCCCCTCTCGTCGCGTCAGCCGACATCTGCGGGTTTCGGACGCACGCGCTCTCGCACGTGCTCCTCGTGTACTTGCCGCCGAACACGACCCCGTTCTCTCAGCCTCTGGACCAGGGCCTCATCGCAGCTCTGAAGACACGTTACAAGGTGGAGTTGCTTCAGGCAGTTCTCGAACAGTGGCAGATCCCTGGCGTCACCGTCGCCGCCATTCTGAAGTGGAAGCCCGAGATGTGGCAAGTGGTAACCTGGGTGTCGGATTCGTGCCTTGGCTTGGATACCGCGACCATCCATAAGTGCTTCTGGAGGACGCGAATGCTGACCGCCAGCTGGCAGCCGCTGCTACCTCTCCTCGGCGCCACTTTTGAAGAGCTGGAGCCCCGGTTAGAGCATGAGATCGAGCCGGTGCAACAGATCATGAGCGCCCTGCCATTCGGCTCGGACGATATGATTTCCGCCGCTCGCTTCGTCACCGCCGAGCGTGACGACGAGACGAGCGAGCCGAGCGGGGTGGATCCGCTAGAGGTAGAGCCGCTTGGCCCGGCCCAGCGGGATGCGTGGTGGGCGAACGTGCCTCCCCCCCCCCCCCCGGCTCCAAACGACTCAGCGCGGAACCGACGCAATCTGTCGCGCACGGCGACAGAGATGCTAATCGGCTACGCCAAGTCCATTGGCTTGGCTCCGCGCGATCTCAGAGTGCTTTTCGACATCCGCGAACCTGCGGTTATTGATTGCTTGGAGCGCGCATCCCCCCGCCTGGACACTAACAATGCGCCCGACGCGGCCGAGGAAGAGTACCTCAGTCATGTCCGCGGAGCCACTGCGGTTATGACCGGATATCCAGACGCAAGCGAGTGGATGACCTTTGGCGCGCAGCCCACTACCTATTGCGGGTACTAGGCGGTTAATTATGCAGTTCGGGTTTGGCGCGATGAACTTCCATGGCACTGCAGTTTGGAGTGGTGCAATTGTGCGCTGAGGGGCTTACAACACGCTGTCTTAGAGCGTGTATGTGGAGGCGCGAGAAGCCTTGTGCTCTGCCTATGACCTTAACGGCGAGGGGGTTGTGCTGTGTTGCACGGAGTTGGGCAGTGTCGGTCAACGTAAGCATGGTTTTCGGTCGGAGTCTAATTTCGAGTCTAGTCTAGTGTCGAGTGCTGTCTTTGTCGAATCAATTATGTTTGTTGCTTTATTGCAGTCCATGTTTGTCACCTGCGGAATCAATTCTGACATTCTCTTGAAACGCGGAGTTGATACACAGGTGGAGAGGCTTGCGACGTGGCAATGTTTACTCAGTCACTGCATAGGCCAGTCAAGCCGCCCATGCACAGTACACAAAAAACAACGCCCCATTTCCTGGGGAAACCCCATAGTCGACGTTGCCCCTACCGTATGGCCAGTATTCGTTAAATGGAAAATCTGCCGCGTCGCCCCCCGGGTGCTAAGGGAATATGACCTGTACCACGATTTTGCAGTATGAGGTGTGGGACGGAGTGTGTTGATGTTTGCCTGGCAGCTCTGGGCGGCTGATGGCCGCGCTTCGGGTTTGGCATGAGAAGGGGCACGCGATTTGGGGGCCCTTGGTTTGGGGAAACCGAACCGATGCGACGATGTTGCATGCTGACGTCACGTTTCGCAAATTGGGTTTGGCGAACCCACGAAGCCTCGATCGATGTTCCGCAGGCCTGATTTCCCTCGCCCTGCCGGTGAAAAATTGGCCAGCGAACGGTTCCCTGGAATAACGGCCTACCGATCAGGGCCAAGACGAACGACGAGGTGCACCTCGGTTCCAGGAAGCTCTCGCCCGCGGCAAAGTGTGTCCTCTTCCCGTCGAACTCTTTACTAATTCGGGAGTTGGTGTTTCACTCTATTCATCAGAGTAAGGTCATGGCAGCAGTGCTGACGTCACCCTCCGCTCTCCCCGAGCCTTCCCCCGCTGATCTGTGCGCCCTGCGCCGGCAGCTGGCCGGCAACGAGACGGCGGCGGCGCTGTTGGAGCGGGTGAGGGCGCGCGGAGAGGCGCGGGGAAGCGTGCGGACGGGGTTCGGCGCGGTGGACGGGCACCGGGGCGTGGCGGAAGGGGGAAGCGGGGGAGTGGCGGAGGTGGTGGGCGGCAGTGGTAGCGGCAAGACTGAAGTGCTCATGCGGGTGAGCGACAAGCGGGTGCGGCGTGGCTATTCAGGAGGAAACGCGCGGACGCAAGGGCGGGGATAAGGTAGAGTAGAGGAGAGGCACAAGGGGCGAGAGCAGGCAGTGCTGTTTGCCACTGTCCCATCTCCTTGAAAGTCCTTCCAAGAATTCTCATTCCTCCCCCGCCCCCGCACCTTTCCGCCCTGCGCCCTCCACCAGCTAGCAGCGGCGCATCTCCTGCCATTGCCAGCGCGCCCCTCCCACCCACCTGCCGCTCCTGCTCGCACTGGCGGTGCGCGGGTGGGTGCCGCTGCTGCTGCTGCTGGCAACGGCGCGCATAAATGGGCGGTGGCGGGCGCGGTGGTGGTGTACGCGGACCTGGACCTGCGCTTCCACATGCCGCGCTTCACAGCCGTGCTGCACGCCAGAGCCACACAGGTGCGCTGGGCCGGCCAGGTACGGTGGGGCACGCAGGTGCGGCAGGGCACGCAGGTACGGCAGGGCACGCAGTGACGCAGGTACGGTGGGGTGTGCAGGTACGGTCGTTGGTTGAGGTGCCGTGGTGTAGTGGTTGGGAGGTGGCAGGAGGGTGTTGTCGCACGCGGTTCGTGCACCCTCTCTTCACATAGTGTGACCGCACTGCACCTCACATACCTGCTGCGTTGCCTGCTTCCCGCACTTCCCAACCAACCCCTTCCTTCCTCCTCTCCTCCCACCCATTCTCACTCCCCGCCTCTCGCCCCTTCCGCGCTTCATCTCTCGCCATGCGTGCGACTTTCCCTTCCCGCCCGCCCCAGTGCGTGCATGACACCACGGGGTCGTCAGCGCAACCATGCCAGCAGCAGCAGCGCGTGGAGGGTCTGGTGCAAGCAGCACTGCACCGCTTCCATCTGATGCCGTGTCGCAACACATGCCACTGGCTCGCATGCCTCAAGGTCCCACCAGCGCCATCACATGGCCCCTGTCGTGCCATGCTGCCATGTCGCTTTGCCTCCATGCCGCTTTGCCTCCGTGTCGCTTTGCCTCCATGCCGCTTTGCCTCCGTGTCGCTTTGCCTCCGTGTCGCTTTGCCTCCGTGTCGCTTTGCCTCCGTGTCGCTTTGCCTCCGTGTCGCTTTGCCTCCGTGTCGCTTTGCCTCCGTGTCGCTTTGCCTCCGTGTCGCTTTGCCTCCGTGTCGCTTTGCCTCCGTGTCGCTTTGCCTCCGTGTCGCTTTGCCTCCGTGTCGCTTTGCCTCCGTGTCGCTTTGCCTCCGTGTCGCTTTGCCTCCGTGTCGCTTTGCCTCCGTGTCGCTTTGCCTCCGTGTCGCTTTGCCTCCGTGTCGCTTTGGCTCCCTGTCGCTTTGCCTCCCTGTCACTTTGCCTCCCTGTCACTTTGCCTCCATGTCCGCGTTTCCTCTCCTGCCAGTACGCTTCACACGCCTTGCACTGCCCGTCCCTCTACTTCCGCTCCCTCCACTGCCACACTCGCCCTCCCACTCTCCTCTCCCCCTCGCGCCCTCCTATATCAAACACAAGTACAAGCATGGTCACCCGTTCGTTGTGTCTCGTCCCTGCCCTCCCTGCCCTCCCTTCCCTCCCTTCCCTCCCTGCCCTCCCTGCCCTCCTTGCCCTCCCTGCCCTCCTTGCCCTCCTTGCAGTCGCTGTCGTCCTTGCTGCCCTCGTGGCAGGCACAGCACCAGGTGCCCATCTGTGGGGAGGGCAGCAGCGGTGCGGGGTTGGACGAAGAGATGGGGGAAGTGGCGAGGGACGGCAATGGCAGCGGGCAGGTGGAGCGAGTGGAGGGAGGAGGGGTGGGCGAAGCGAGTGGGTTACAGGGCGAGGAGGGAGTGAGTGCAGGTGACGCGGCAATGAGGAATGGGGGCGCAGAGTGTGGTGGGGAAGGGGCCCAATGGGTGCAGAGGAGCTGGTTCAGCCCTGAGGCTGGTGCACGGCACCATGGCACCCCGTCTTCTCGCTGGCACTGCCCTCCTCTGCTGCTCATCGACTCGTGCGTGCCGCGCCATGCCATGCCATGCTGTCATTGCGTCCTGTGCCATGCACGCATTCTCGCTGTCCAACGAGATCTGCTCTCGTGCAATGCGTGGCTGTTGCTTTATTGTGATTTCATAGTGTGGGTTGCCATTGTCGCACCTCATTCAAATGTAGGCGCTTCAAGCCTTGGGGTGCGACAATGGCAACCCACACTATGAAATCACAGGGATCTGCTCTCCTGCTATGCTTAATGGTTGCTATGGCTTTTGTTATTGTTGTGGTCTCAAGTGTGGGTTGCCTTTGTATCACCTCGTTCTCAATGTGGCCCATCAACATCACACCTGTCCTCCTCCCTCCTTCCTCTCCCCTCCCTCCCTGCATGGCGCTACCAGCATTGGAGCCTTCTACTGGTTGGACCGTGCGGTTCCCCCGGCCCACGCACCCAGGTGTGTATGGTGTCAGATAAAACTCTCTTTGACCGTATCATCATTGTCTACTTGCTCATTATGAAGCCTTAAAACTTGTTGGTGCATAGGCGCTTGAAGTTAATATGAAGTTTGAAATCAAAGAATCAATCTGTAGAAGTTCTGGTTTTTTTTGTTGATCCCTTAAAAACCTTATGTCTTTTTTCTCGTAAATTATGGAATAAATGAACGCATACGTGTGCTTCTCTTCCTTGCTGCTTTCTCATCCCTGACCTCAACCACAGCCTCTCCAACGCATGTCTTGGCCTGCGACGTCACTATCTCACGCTCCCCAATGCGCCCATTTCTCATGTGCCATCTCAACCCGTCTCTCAATCTCCTTTCCTATGGCCTCTCACTCAAATTCCTCCTCTGCTCGCATGCCTGCCAAGTCAGCGACCATGGAGGCAGGCTGCTGACGTGGGTGACAGCTGCTGAGGTGGCAGCGCGTGAGCTGCACCAGCTGTCACAGTCTCACGGAGTGGCGGTGGTTGCTGCAAGGACAGCCATCTTCGGTGGCCGCACCCTGCCACCTGCTGCCATGGCTGCTGCCGCTCCTGACTCGTCCAATGTGCTAGTGGATTCTGCTGCTGCGCCTGTGGTGCCAGCGCATGTGCCACCGCGCGAGTACATGCCTGCTGCTTGGCAGGTACGTGTGAGGGAGGAAGACAAGGGGAGAGGTATGCACGTGGCAGCATCCAGAAGATTTGATAGGTATCAGCTGGGCACTCACATCCAGGTACACTGAGCAAGCAGCACGTGGTTGCATGGCTGGTACCACCCTTTGGAGGGTCCACGTGGGACGTGGAGTGCAGCGTCCAGCACAGGACGGTGCACTCCTCATGAGCGGGGGATTGCAGGTCGTTTGGGACAGCAGCGAGCAGCAGGAGCGGGTGGGCTGCCTCATGGGAGCCACTGCTCCACACTCACTGCTGCTACCAATCATGCTGCTCTGCTCACCAGTGTCAAGGCATGTCAGCCCAACGGTTGCACCTTGCTGCATGCTCAGGCTGTAGTTCCTGGTAGGCTCTCACTCCCATAGGTCAGCATACTCTAACTTTTTGTATTGTCCGCATCAACCCGTGAGTCAAGAGGGACATTGCGTGTTGCTGCATGGGGGTGCCGTCCCACATCGAGGTGTGCCGGTGTCACAAGCGTGTGGATGTGCTGTGTGCGTCCACACCCCTTGTGGTGAGCGCTACATGCGCTATCACCGCACCGCCCGCCGTCACCATCCAATCATCCGCCCCTGCAATGCCTCTCAATCCTTCGCCATTGCTCTCCCTTTCTTGTACTGCACCCCTCCCCACCCCTCCCCGCCCTTCCCTGCCAGGCCCTTGTGTCACACCGCCTCTCTCTCGCGGGTCCATTCTCGCCCGCCGATCCCTTGCAGCCCTCCCAGTCGCAGCCAGCCCCCAGTGAGCCGCTCCCTCCCTTGACCCACCGTTTCTCCTGCTCGCCTCTGTGTATCTTCCCCCCTTTGGCTCCCTCCACCTGGCCTCCCCCTTGCCCCACTCATCGCAGCATCCCCTCTCTCAGTTGCGGCCATCGTGAGCCCCTCACCACATCCCACACACCAGGTTCCCTCACCCTCTCGTATGTGTGTGTGCACCTGTCCCAACCCCCCTCTCTGCCTCTCCTGCTCACCTCCCATCCCTGCTCTTGCAGCGCAAGAGCAACACCCCTCGCCACAGCTCTTCTCCGCGTGCTGGATGTGTCCATCGCACGCCTCACGTGCGCACCTGCCAGCGCAAGCCCGCCAGGGGGGCAGGGTGCCGGTGTGCGACCAAAGGGAGCAAGGCGCAGCAGACACGCCACTCTCTGGTGCTGCCTGCACGTTATTCCACATCACTGAGGCAAGGCTCACCACCTCGTGCACGTGCAAGCCATGCTGCTGGGGGTTTCTCTGCTGCCTTCACCTCCAACTCACACAGCAGCGGCCTGGCTGTGTCGGTGCAGTGGGCTGTTCCATAGCATCGCCATCAAACCATTGCATGCGACGCACACCACACAGCAGTTCACAACACGCTGTAATCTTGCTTAGGTGTCATACCAGCATTCATGTTCTCCTACTCGTTCACATGCACTCTCGTTTCCCTCTCCTCTCCCTTCCTCTCCCTCCCTCCTTCCTCTCCCTCTAAAACCCGCCTTTTCCCCTCCCGTTCTTGCTCCCTCTCGCAACCCACCTTCTCCCTGTTTCTCATTTTTTCCACGCCATGCCATGCTTCACCAGGCTGGTCCATGTTCCCTGCCAACGTGACATCTCACCTCCTCCCATGCGCCATGCCACCTGCACGTCAACACCTCTTGCTGCTCTCTCTCCAGTCCAGATGCCTGCTGCTGCTCCTCTGCGTAGCCTGCATTGCGACACCTCAATGTGTGGGTGTCAGGGCCCAAAATTGGTTTTAGGCCACTCTTTGAGATCAGAGTAGGAAAAAAAAAATGCCCTGACGGTCAGAGCTAAAAAAATTCTAAGTCTGATTTGGCAGGGTAAAAAAATTCGAAGTCTTTGCTTCAAGTGTAGAACTCTTTGCACCCTTTCTAGCCTTGGCCATTTAAGGAACATTTTACATGAATGAAGTGGGCTGCACTGAGGTGTGGAAAGAAGGGTGTAGCGGATTTGCGCGTGCTGGGGGAGATTGGGGGATGGGATGGGACGGAAAACGATTCTGGGGCGCGAGAGGGGAATCAGATTTACATGGGCGGCAGAGGGGCGGGAAAAAAACCATCTGCTCGTGATTGGTTGGGTGTCAGAACAGAAGGGCGTATACGACGTGACGTGTCTTGCTGTGGTGTGGAGGACTTAGCGAAAAAAAAAAAAAAAAAAAAAATAGCGGGGGTGTGGTTGGGAGGCATGTCTCTTGTGGGGGACTTAGCCATTTCTGGGTTGCGAGGGGGTGAGGGAGCTATGACTCTGGCTATGACTTAGCCGAAATTGCTGGCTTGCATGGTGCGTGGGGTGGGAGGAATGACTCTGGCTGCCAGGGACTTCGTCGAAATTTTTGGTTGCAGGGTGTTTTGGGGGAAATGTTTCTGGCCGCCAAGGACTTAGTCGGAATCTCGGAGTTTCGATACCAGGGTAGTTTTCAGGACGCCCTGAAGGGTCAGGGTTCGGGGCCCCGCAACCCTAGTTTCGGCAGGGTAATATTTTCGTAACACTTTTTGGATCAGGGTAATAAATTTCGTAAGTCTGATTTTTAAGACCAAATGAAAAAATGCCCTGAAAAATCAGGGCAATCAGGGCATTTTACCCAGCTAATTTGAGCCCTGGTGGGTGTGTAGGTTATTTGTATTAGGCAGTTATCAAAACTGCAAGCTTTGGAAGACCATTCAGGCTGGTCTGTAAATAAAAGGTTTCGTTGAGATTCTTGAAGAGCACATGACTATCAAAAGGCCCCTGCTGTAATTACTCCCCTCATGGCGGAGCATGCTGCAGCCGGGGAATTTGAGGGCTGTCTCTCGTTACCATATAATGAACGAACATCATGTCTCCGTCTCATCTAGATGTGGGTTTGGCTTGTGCTTGGTGGTTATGCCCTTGGCACAAAAACATGTTAGAGCTCGTGTAATATTGAGTTACAGGATCTAGGCGTACCTTCTCGCATATAGCGTATGTAACTCGACACAAACGAACTGTTTTGCAGGGCACTTCTCTTCCGTCGCGTCCTCCATACGGAAGTTTTCGGTACTGTATGTGCATACCATTCGTTATTCTACCTAACACCACATGGACAGAGGCTTTTCTGAGGTAAATCGATCACGGTGGCCGACCATCGCGTGAACCACGGAGGCATGGCGGAGCAGGCCGCGCCACCCGACCACGAGTTCGTGTACCGCATTAGCCCAGAGGCGGAATGGCGCCACGCGCAGGCTGCTGGCCGCTTCGTGGGTAGCGATTTCGACAGGCAGAGCGGCTTCATCCACCTCAGCACGGCCGACCAGGTCCACCCGCGGTGACGCCTCGCCGGCACGCTCTCCCGCTTGCACGCCCCGTCCGATTCTTGCCGGCAGCAACGGTCGCTGCGACGCGTGGTTTCATGTTTGGTGGTGACGTGTGGCGTGTGGCGTGCGTGGCAGGTGGGCGGCACGGTGCTGATGTTCTTCGCGGGGCGGGACGACCTCATGCTGCTGCAGATACGCGCACACACGGTGAGCACGCGCGCGGGAGTGGCGCTAGGGGGGATGTGCGGGGAGGGCTTGGGGGGGAGAAGGCAGCGGAGGAAGAGGAGGAACTGGTGAGGTGCGAGTGAGATGAGGGGACAGGGCAGGGCACGGTAGGTTCTGGTAGGTAGGGAAGGTCAGTGTGGGAGAGGGCGAGGCGGTGGGCTGGGGATTTGGACACAGCCACACATCCCCTGCCGTGTTTGATGTACCGCGTTCCCATCTCAATGCCCCATCCACACCTCATGTGCCACCCCATTCAATGACATGCTCTCCACTGCTTCCTCACCTCGCATACCGAGCTCTCTCTCACCCCGCTCCTCCCTCCACTTGATTCAGCTTGGAGCACGTCTGGTGTACGAGCCTGTGCCGGACCTGGGCCTCTTCCCGCACCTCTACTGCCTTGCTCCTCCCACTGACCCCTCTGCCAGCAGGCGCAGCGAGGAGGCGGGTGAAGAGGAGGGGGTGAGTGGCATGGCGCTGTCAGCCGTGGTGCAGGCAGTGAAGCTGCCTCTCAAAGATGGCGTGCACATGCTGCCATCCTTCCTCTCAGCCTCCTGACCACATGGGCCAGTCCAGTGCGGTTGAAAGTGCCACCCGAGTGCTGCTAGCTCAAGAGGCACAGGACCTGGCTTTGAGGGCTTTGAGTGTCTGTTTTGACGTTCAACGCAAACCCCTCCAATGTGGGGAATGGCGGATTGATTGCTTGCTTGCAAGGCAAAAGGCAAGGAAAGCTTGAACTGTGTGGTGGTGAGGGAGGTGGGGGGGCTGGCTAATTGTGCCCTGTATGGTACAGTGGTACGGCTTTCACTCTATGAAATGGGAAAACAAATAGGCTTCGAAATGGCAATTGTATTGTAAAGCATTCTTCCAAAAGTGAATTCTGATAGGATACGGCAATTGATCGACTTAATGTTACCGTGTTCGATTACAGACTTCGCCTTCGTCGAAGCCATCACAATGAGTACACAGCTATGCTCCCCCAACTCAAAGCCTCTTCACCCCAGCAGACGACGACGAGCCATGGCGGGTGACACGTGGCAGTCGGTGGCTGTGGAGCGAGTGGCGTCGCCCACAGCGGTGAGTCGCCGCTGTACCATCGGACCTATCCGGCCGGAGTGATTCGCCTAGACACAAGGAGCGGACGACCTTGCATGTTCAGGATGTTCGGGCCGCGCTGATCGGCTTCTGCCCCATCGCGCCTCCCGCTGCCAGTTCCAATTGTCCAGCCCCCTGCTCGCCATCCCCTCGCCTCCTGCCAACCCCTTCCGGCGCTCGAGCCAACCGACCAGCGCGTGCCCGCCGCATTCCAACCTTGCAACCTTCACGCCTGTGCCCTTCCCTCCCCTCCCTCCCCCTCCGTTCCCCCTCTTCCCCGGCCGCCCCCCTTCCGCGCGGCAGTGGCAGCAGCACATGCGCGTGCGGTGCGCGGTGTTCATCGACGAGCAGCGCGTGCCGCCGCACGAGGAGGTGGACCACCACGACGGGCTCGGCGCGCTGCACGCCGTGCCGCCCTCCGCCCTGCACTTCCTCGCCACCGTCGACAGGCAGCCCGCAGGCGCAGGTGGGGGGGAGGGGAGAGGGAGGTATAAACTACAGGCAGAGGGAGAGGGAGGGGGGAAAGGATTGGAAGGGTGCAAGTGGGAGGTTTAATGATGCGAGTCATGGTTAAGGGAAATTATGGTGAATGGTCGTGGCGGTGGCAACCGCAGGACTGACAGCAGGACGGCAGGACTTGAGGTATGTAGGCGGGGACGGAATGATGGGACGTGTGGACGCGGGCAGTGAGCAGACGGTATGAGGGAGTCACCACGTCATGCAGTGCTGCTGCTGCTGCTGCTGCTGCTGCTGCGTCAACTCGACCTGCTCCTCGTGCTCTCATGGAGCGTGTTGCCTGCTCTGCTGCCATGCGGAACCACACGACCACAGCCACCCGTCCCTTCTCTCCACGCTGCACCTCACCAGATTGCGTCGCACCACGTGCTGCCGTGCGCTGGCAGGTCGCTGCGTGATAAAGAGCGAGGGCACTGCCAAGGTGGGGCGCATCGCCACGCTGCCTCAGTTCCGGAGGAAGGGGGTGGGACGAGCCATCATGCACTGCATTCACGTACGTGCTGCACACCTGGGTGGGTGTGTGGGTGCAAATTAGGGTGTGAGGGGGTGCACGTTGGGGTGTGAGGAGCTGCATGCAAGTGCCTGGTATACGATGTGGTAAGCAAGGTGCATGTGAGTACGGGCTTTCCCGTCTGGTATGCACGTGCATCTCACTCATCTCCACAGTGATTGTCTCTACAGCTAGTTGCTCGTGTGTCTCTAGATTGAATTGTGTGTGTTATCTTGTTGGCACATGTTTATGTGGCAATGCCGCCATTTACTGCTGCTGCTGCTTCTCCCGTCTGCCTCCCGTCTACCAATTGCCCTATCCACACTGGTCTACGCACAGGAGCATGCGGCCAGGCATGGGTGTGTGAAGAGCACATTGGGCGCCCAGCTGGAAGCAGTGCCGTTCTACGAGCGCCTTGGTTACACTGTTACATCGGGCGTGGTGTTCCTGGATGCTGGCATCGAGCACGTTGATATGCATTGCGAACTCACTCCATGAACCCGCTGTGCTGTGTATATATATGGAATGCCTGAATGTGCAAAACACGGTCTTAGGGCCCGCACACTTCTTTCTGCCCCTGGTGTGGTGGAACCTTATTGGGTGTGAATGGGAGTGAGCACACGACACCTGCTCTATCCTTCACTTCAAATGTATGAAATTCAATCCAAAACAGGGCTTGTATGGGCGACGTGAAGCAGCACTAGAAGCTCAAATCTTGTGGTGCGCGCAAGGTCCATGCACATGCTGGTCGACAGCAGGGCTCTCGGTTGAAGGGTAAACTGTCAAACATATATTGTATGTTTCTATAGACTATATAGGGTTGTGCCTTAGGGAGTACAACCCATTAGGTTATATTCCCTTGTATGCCTTGTTCTAGACATCCTTTCACTTTAACATGGTATCATGAGTAGGTGCCGTATTCTCTCGGATACAGTACCCTAGGGAGCTAATAAAAATTCATGAAAATTTTGGGATGGGTGGAATTAAAGGCAAAAAAAAAAAAAAAAAAAAAAAAAAAAAAAAAAAAAAAAACACCATGGTTCTATGGAACGTGCATATGGGTTTTCCAATTGCAAAATGTTTCTGCTTGTTACACTTCTTTGTACAGAGTAAGAAATCAACATTCCTCGACCTCGTCGCGTACCTGACGATGTGATCCATCTGCAAGCCACGTCGTCAGCTAAACCAGCTGAGTCACGGACAATGCTGGCAATTTAGCCGATGAACGCGTGCCGCAGGCCTTATCCTAGCTGCCTCCATGTAGCGCTGTGCCATCACAGCGTTGCTTGACGACATCCAAGGGGAGACTCCCCTTCAGGACCCATCCACGATCATCCATCGCACGGATTCGTACGCTGGACACTCGTGAAGGGGTTGTTCATGGTCGATAGGGACGAGGGAGTCGCGCACGTCCCTTCCTTCCCGTCCATCCCGTTCTTGAAGTGGGTCTACCCGACCTTCTTGCCTCATTTTGCTATTCAGCAGCAGAATGCCTACAAGACAGCCCCTACAAGGGCTGTATCAGGCAGCCCACTCGGTTTTTGTAGGACGCTCCCGCCATGGCGTCTGGCACAGGCATGATGCGTTTGCTATATCAGAGAGGCCCTTACGGTCAGCAGACATTCTTCCACCGTCCATCCCGCCTGACTGTATCGTCGCCCTCTCGGAGCCCAAGTCGCACGTCTGGCGAGGGCGACAACACCGCCACAGACTCAGCGACCGACGCGACGGAGGGTCGGCGTCCTCTTCCCCGTGTCACTGTGCCGAGCTTCCCCGCGGCGCCTGTCCGCCGTCCAAATGGCCCGATTATCAGCCATGATGCAAACCCCCCTCTCCTCGAAGCAGGATGACGAAGCGGAAACGCCGCTCGTACAGCGCTTCGGAGAAATTGTTCTGGTTAGGAATGCTTGACTCTCAGCCTGACCTCTCCATCCGTGCGTTGGCCAAGCTCGCAGGTGTGCAGCCTGTCATGATTCGGGAGTGGAAGAAGGCACGGGAGAGACTCCATGTCGCTGCAAGATGTCAAAAGCGGCTCGTTGGCGCGGGTCGTCCGGCGAAGTTTCCGACGATGGAAGCAGCTCTTTACCGTCAATTTCGGCGTCATCGAGGGAAGGGCCTGGTCGTCTCCGTGAAGCTCCTGCGGAAGTGGAGCCGCTCGTACATGAGGGCATGCGATCCTGATGTCGACTAGCGCGCATCCGCCCGCTGGACCTTCAGATTCCGCGCGCGATTTGGGCTGACACGACGTATGAAGACGAAGATGGGGCAGAAGCTCGCCGATGGTAAGCTTCCTTTCCCATCTCGCCGGTCCTGCCGAATAGTGCATGTCAGTTTTACGTGAATTCCCAACTTATTCTCTATCTCTGTTTCTGTCTAATGCAGACATGCGGGAGAAACTCCACAAGTTATGGGAATTCGTCAAGCAAATGCGACTGCTCAACGGCTACAATCTCGACCTCATCGTCAACGCGGATCAGACTCCGCTTTTCATCGAGATGCCGCAGGAAAGGACCTTGGAGCACAAAGGTTCGCGGATAGTCCACGTGAGGACCGCCGGGTACGAGAAAGAGCGCTTGACCGTCATGCTGGCGGTCACAGCCTCAGGAATGAAACCCCCGCCATATGTCATCTTCAAAAGGAAGACCCTCCCGAAGATTCAGGTTCCCTCAGGTAAGGATTCTGAACTCTGGTGGCTTCCTTGGTTGCTCCATACTGTTGTCTGTTGACTGACTCTCTGCCCATGGTGTTTGGGTGCATGCAGGTATCACCATCCGAGCCCAGCATAAGGGCTGGATGGACGACAAGCTAGTCCAAGACTGGACTACTCAAGTCTTGAACCCCTTCCTTCGACCGCTGCGCGAAGCCGGCAACAGGCGCAAGGCTGCACTTGTCATCCTCGACTCCTACAAAGGGCACCTCACAGAGGCGGTCGGACAAAAGATGAAGCTCTGCAAGCTGACGCGTGCAGTCATCCCTGGAGGCTGCACACCTCTCGTGCAACCGTTGGATGTCGCAATCAACAAGAGCTTCAAAACTGGCGTGCGTAGCGACTACGGCACCTGGTTCGAGCAGTTCGGCATCGACCTCAAAACAGCAGCAGGTGAACCCGCTTCATGTTCTTGTTGCTTCGTTTAATGCTTCATGTTATTCATCGCTTTGTAAACGCTGACTTGTTGCCGTTGACCGCCACCGCTCCCTTTGTAGAAAATCTGAAAAAACCCCCAGCAGAGCTCATTCTCAAGTGGATTGCACGGTCATGGGCGGCAGTTTCGGAGAAGCTCATACGGAATTCGTTCAAGACCTATGGGATCTCGAATGCGTTGGATGGCTCCGAGGACAAGTTGGCTCTCCGTCACCTCCGCGAGAAGCCGGGCGTGGAAGTCATGGACGACGTCCATGTTCGGGAGGGTGAGAGTGAGTACGTGAACCCTCTGTATGACCGCACGATCGACGTCGACGAGGACTTAGCCGACGACAAGAAGGATGATGCCGCGGCGGCAGCAGAAGCCGATGGCGACAAGGATGAAGCGACGGCAGCAGCGGCAGTAGCAGAGGATGCCGACCTCACTGCAGCAGAGGCAGAGACAGCAGCAGAAGCAAAACGAGCTGAAGATAGTGTGGAGTGGCTGGCTGAAGGCATTGCTGAAGAGGATGATGACGGCCACTGGTGGGACGTGCTGGCGGATGGGAGTGATGTTGAGGAGTGGCATGCTGGCAACGATGAAGATGATGATGAGGACAACTAGAGCACGTGGCAGAGGCAGTAGCATCATGGCTTGAAGTAGTGGTAGCTTGTACTGTGGCCCCCTGATAAACCTCTAGGACATGCAAGCAGGCTTAGGCTGTTTAGCTAACCTCTAATTCCTGATTGTTTAGTGAAAATTAACTGGAATGTAGAGCCTCGTTTCGGGGGAGGGTGTTCAGTTGTTTTCAACCCCAAAAGTAGGGTGGTAACTAGATCCAGTATAGTTAAACACCCATACCCGCACAAGCCACCCATGGGAGCTTAATTCCGGCGGGTACTGTATCCGGGAGAATACAGTAGGTCCCCTCCCCCACCCTAGCGCTTCCGCCTTAGGTCCTAGCCGCCTCGTCGCCCTGCGGCCCCGTCACCTAGCGGCCCCACGGCCCCGTCCCCTAGGGGCCTCCCTCCACCGCATAGCACCGCACATCACCGCTTTCCGCCGCACTCTCCTGCCCAGTACTGTCTTTTTCCTGATGGTGCAACCATGATGGCGGACTCGGTCCTGCGTTTTGATGCTGAGGGGCAGCCGATTGAGTTCGACTCGTCGCTCGTCGACCTCCAGCGACACCTGACTGGACAGCGGCAGGACGGCCACTCCCTGGCCGTCCACATCGCCGGTACGCTCCCCTGCCCGGACCCCCCTGCTGGCCTTCCCGCTGACCCCACGTCTGCTGACCGTGAGTCCGCTGCAGCTGCTGCCCTTGCCCGCGCTGTCTGGTTGTCGCGTAACGCTGTCGCACACCTTGCGATTAGTCATGCCCTTCCCCTGTCCGAGCGCCCCCACTTTAGGTCCGTCAGGAATGCGCAGGATTTCCTAGAGGCTGTTATTGCGCACTATTCCACCCCGCCCTCTGCCTGTGAAGGTCGCCTGATCCTGCCAATGCTCTTTCCTGACCTTCCGTCTTTCCCCACTATCGCCGACCTAGCCGCCCACCTGCGCACGCTAGACACGACCTGGCGCGCTGTCTGCACTGAGGCTCAACTTTGTGTATTTCAGCCCCCCATCTGCTCTACCATCTACCTGCTTGCCACTCGCCTCCCTGACCGCCTTGCCACCGCCAGCGATCACTTTCTTAGTCTCCACCCCGCTGACCTCACCCTCACTGACTTTGTCGACACCCTGTCTGCGATAGAGACTAGTCAGCGCTCTATCGCCCAGTCTAGCGGTACCATGCCAGTCTCTATCTTTTAGGGATATGCCCCTGCTCAGTGCTCTTACTCTGACGGTTCAATTGCGGTTGCTGAGACAACTGCGGCTGTGGAGACAGCCGCCGTAGTGCAGTTTTGCCGCCCCAAGGCTAGGCGCGGCGGAGGTAGCGGAGGAAGAGGTGGTGCCGGTGGTGGAGGTGGCTCGTCCGCTGGTAGTACTGACGAGGGGGCTGGGGCTGGTGCCCCGGAGCAGCAGCCCTAGCAACAGCAATAGCAGGCTCCGCAGCTGGACCAGCAGCAGGCGCAGCAGCAGCAGGAGCAGCGGAGGGTCGGCCGTCTCCCGCCCGGGTGGCCTGGAGCTGGAGGTGACGGTGGTCGCAGTGGTCGCTCACGCGGCGTGTCGTCGGGTGGTATTCCGAGTGATGGGCGCTGCCAGTACCAGCTCCAGACCGGTCCTCGCTGCGGCCTCGTATGCGGTAAGATCGGCCATACCCCCGCTCGTTGCTTTCGTCGCCTAGACGACCTGTTTCGTCTCCGCTTCGGCCCATCGCCTGACCTCCCCGACTGGCACAGCCTGCTCCGTCGTCGTGTTCAGATCTTTGATATGGACATGGATGAGATTAGCTTTGCTTTGTACATACTGTATGTTGATGACTCTAGTATGACTGGTTCCTATTACTCTGTATTGCCTAGCGTAGGTGTGCCCAGTGTGCCCAGTTCAGACTCCCCTGCTGCGTCAGGCGTAGGATCCCCTGCCTTGTTTAGCCTAGGTTCCTCTCTCACTCCTCCGAC